CTGGCTGCCTGGGACACTGCAGGACCCTCTTGCTCGCAGTGTACTGGCGGCACGCCCCCTGCTGGCTGCCTGGGACACTGCGGGGACCTCCTGCTCACAGTGAACTGGCGGCACGCCCCCTGCTGGCTGCCTGGGACACTGTAGGGACCTCCTGCTCACAGTGTACTGGCGGCACGCCCCCTGCTGGCTGCCTGGGACACTGCAGGACCCTCTTGCTCACAGTGAACTGGCGGCACGCCCCCTGCTGGCTGCCTGGGACACTGCGGGGACCTCCTGCTCACAGTGAACTGGCGGCACGCCCCCTGCTGGCTGCCTGGGACACTGCAGGGCCCTCTTGCTCACAGTGAACTGGCGGCACGCCCCCTTGCTGGCTGCCTGGGACACTGTAGGGACCCTCTTGCTCACAGTGAACTGGCGGCACGCCCCCTGCTGGCTGCCTGGGACACTGCAGGACCCTCTTGCTCACAGTGTACTGGCGGCACGCCCCCTGCTGGCTGCCTGGGACACTGCAGGACCCCCTTGCTCACAGTGAACTGGCGACACGCCCCCTGCTGGCAGCAGGGGACACTGCAGGGCCATCTTGCGCACAGTGAACTGGCGGCACGCCCCCTGCTGGCTGCCTGGGACACTGCAGGGCCCTCTTGCTCACAGTGAACTGGCGGCACGCCCCCTGCTGGCTGCCTGGGACACTGCAGGACCCTCTTGCTCACAGTGAACTGGCGGCACGCCCCCTGCTGGCTGCCTGGGACACTGCAGGACCCTCTTGCTCACAGTGAACTGGCGGCACGCCCCCTGCTGGCTGCCTGGGACACTGCAGGACCCTCTTGCTCACAGTGTACTGGCGGCACGCCCCCTGCTGGCTGCCTGGGACACTGCAGGGCCCTCTTGCTCACAGTGAACTGGCGGCACGCCCCCTGCTGGCTGCCTGGGACACTGTAGGGACCTCCTGCTCACAGTGTACTGGCGGCACGCCCCCTGCTGGCTGCCTGGGACACTGTAGGGCCCTCTGGCTCACAGTGTAGTGGCGACACGCCCCCTGCTGGCAGCTGGGACACTGCAGGGCCATCTTGCTCATAGTGTACTGGCGGCAAGCCCCCTGCTGGCTGCTTGGGACACTGTAGGGCCCTCTTGCACACAGTGTAGTGGTGGCATGCCCACCAGCTACACTGCTGCCAGCAGGGGACACTGCAAGACCCTCTTGCTCAGTGTTGTGGCAGCACGTTCCCTGCAGGCAGCTGAGACACCGCAGGGCCCTCTTGCTCCCTGTGTGATGGCTGGAGCCCCCTACAGGCCTCCTTCTGCAGCACTTAAAGTCAGAAAGCCAGTTTATTCAACACCCACAGTTCTGGAAATTCAAACTGAAACGGAGCTATTACTGGAAAGAGCTGATGTCCCAGTTCTTGTCTAACTTGGAAGAAAGATTTTAACCAAGAGGCAGTACAAAGATGGCAGATAACTTTATTGAAAATAAATACAGTGTAAAGAGCTTCTTATAGAAAATATAAGTCGGCCCCAAGGGAGGAGCGTGCTGACTGTGCAGGAAAACAGCCCAAGAGTCCTGTGCAGGGAATTTTATTATGTACTTCTTCACATTCCTGCCTCCGTCTCAACTCTCCACCTGTTTTGTCTGGTTTTTCTGCTCCTACCTTAGGTCCCCGATGTGCCTCTCTTTGGCTTGTGGGGCCTCCTAACTGTTGGTTAAGGCACATGTGTGGTGATCAATCCAAATCCACTGTTGTGGCTGGCTCCTTCCCGCCTCCCAGGAAGGCCCTACAGCAGTCACGTCTGTACCTCCTGTGCCTGCCTCTTTTGGATGCCCTTCCCTGCCCTAATCTGGGGAGAGAAATCTTCCCCAGGTTTCTCTTAAAATGTCCCCTTTGTCCTTCTTATCAGCACATAGCTAGCAATTTTCTGACATTTTAACTGTAAAGTGAATGAGGATTGGGGCATCCTAAGAGGAGTTCTAGGGTGTTTCTTTCTGCATAGGTATCCTTCTTCCTCCTACCCACAACTGACAAGTGACCATCCACTCCAGCATTAGAGATGCTACAAATATATAAATTGTTGAAGGTCCCTCCAGGTGACCCTTCCCATCATGTTCATGTCTAGCTATCTACCAACTCTAACAGAGCCCACTATCCTGTGTCTTTCCCAAAAGTAGTGAAGGAACGATGCATTGGAAACCATAGAAAATAGAATGTAGATGAAAACTTTACAATTCATACAAATAATCACTCAAAATCATCCTTACACTAAAAATGCAAAACTATACAATTTCTAGAAGAAAACATAAAATAAAAGCTATGTGCCCTTGGGTTCAGCAATGAAATTTAACAACACAAAGTGTCTATACACACAGAACAAATAATTAAGCAGATTTTTAAAATATTAAAAGTGTATACTCCAGAAAAGACCTTGCTAAGAGAATAAAAAGACAAGCCACATATTGAAAGAAAATATTTGCAAAATACAGCTGAGACAGAATTTCTATTCAATATACGAAAAAATCTTAAAACTAAGTAAAACAGCCCAATTAAAGATGCACACATCTCTAAACAGACACCTCACCAAAGGCTTTAAGAGAAACCGGCCATTTCAAAAGACTCCACCACTGATACCAACCAACTGCCTGAAGCTGCCTCTCCTTCTCGCCTGATAAGAGACCACCCATGACAAAGAGGTTCTGGCCAGTATACAGAGGATGCACAGAGCAAGTTTTCATGTCCTCTGCTTCATCTTTTAATGCCAGAGGGCTGAAAACTCCACCCTGGGATTATGCTAACACTGCCATTTTTGGTACATGGGACCCATGAAAGAGTAAGAAACTCAGTTGCATGTGCATGCATTTCTCCTTTCATAAATATTCATGACTCCTCCTAGAGCTTATTACATATGTGTATTTGGCCATGCCACTCACCATAAATTACTATTTATTTTACCTCTCCATTGAAATGTCTGCTTCTGCCTTCTCGCTGGAGGCTATGCTTCCCAGGCTGTCAGGACTAGCATGCAGATTGCAACCCTTCAGAGGAAATAAATTTCTGACTGGGTGCAGTGGCTCATGCCTGTAATCCCAGTAATTTGGGAGGCCAAGGCAAGTGAATCACCTGAGTTCAGGAGTTTGAGACCAGTCTGGCCAACATGGTGAAACCATTTCTACTAAAAATACAAAAAATTAGCTGGCTGTGGTGGTGGGTGTCCATAATCCCAGCTAATTGGGAGTCTGAGGCAGGAGAATCACTTGAACGCAGGAGGTGGAGGTTGCAGTGAGCCAACTTCATGCCATTGCACTCCAGCCTGGGCAACAAGAGTTAAACACCGTCTCAAAAAAATAATTAAATAAAGAAATTGGCCGGGCACGGTGGCTCAAGCCTGTAATCCCAGCACTTTGGGAGGCCGAGGCGGGTGGATCACGAGGTCGAGAGATCGAGACCATCCTGATCAACATGGTGAAACCCCGTCTCTACTAAAAATACAAAAAATTAGCTGGGCATGGTGGCACGTGCCTGTAATCCCAGCTACTCAGGAGGCTGAGGCAGGAGAATTGCCTGAACCCAGGAGGCGGAGGTTGCGGTGAGCTGAGATCGTGCCATTGCACTCCAGCCTGGATAACAAGAGTGAAACTCTGCCTAAAAAAAAAAATAAAAATAAAAATAAAGAAATCTCTCCTTTCCAAATTTATGAACCACATCATTCTTTTTAGTTGATAGTGTTAAAAAGTTCAAAAAGACCTTCCATACTCTCCCACAGAAGCCCTAGAAATTGTCATTTTGCTTATTTTGGATGCCTGAGAACTTGTAATCAAATGGGTAGAAATGTTGAAACTGTGCTTTACCAGCTATGTATCTCTTAATCCAATCAAGCAAATGTCAAAAATTAACCATCAGAACATTCATGCCTGATTCATGAATATGATTGTGTCCTTATCTGAAGGGAAACTTGGACACAGAAACACGCACAGGGAAGGTTTGTGAAGCCTGGTGCTTTGCTGTCATAAGCAAAGAACTACCAGAAGCTGGAGAAAGGCCTCGAGCACATGCCTCCCTTAGGGCCTTCAGAGGGAGCACAGTCCCACCAACACCTTCATTCCAGACTCCGCACTTCAGAATTTGGGAGACAACAAATCTGTGTGGACAAGGAGGGATGGGGCAGGGACAGCCTCCCTGAAGCTGTCCCTGACTCTCCACCCCATTGTACCCAGAGCTGACCCTGAGCCTCCATCCTGCTGTCACTGGAGGCCAGAAAACTCAGGGCTAACCTAAAGCCCACCTCTCACACCTCCCCTGGCTCCTTCTCCAGCTATCCACACTTTGGAACACCCATCATGTCCCTTTAATCTCTAGTGAAGGTGCCTCAAGAAGGCAGAGAGAGGCACAAGATGGTACCTCACCTGTGTCCACTGGACCCAGGCTGGCCCTTTAAGGAGGTGAGGGCATATCCCTCTTCTCAGAGAGGCCAGGGATAAGGCCAGAAAGGGGAGAGGGGGAAGTGTTTGGGGGGGGTGCTGTGGGCAAAGGATGCTGAGGACAGCGGCCCCTCCCCACAGGTGGAAGTGGAGCAGCTGAGGAGGCTTCAGCCTCCCGCTAGACTGGACCTCTAACCATGGCATAGCTGCTACTTCTTGGGAGGTCCAGTCCCAGTCAAAGGTCAGCTCCAGAGATTTTATTTTTCCCAAAATGGACATGATGCAGCTGGCTGAGTCATGTTTCTAGAATTTTCAGGACTGAGCCTGCTCCCTGATGAAAGTGGGCAACATGCCCTGGCAGTTCCTGTAGCCAATACCTAGAAGCACATACAATAAAAAAAGAAAATATAAGCTCTTTGGGAGACTGATCCCAGAATTCCAACATCTAAATAACATTTGTGCTCTGGATAACTGAAAACAAAATATTTCTGCTCCTTAAGACAGCTGAATGTGAGAAAATTACACCAAAACCATCCCTCGCCATCTTCAAAGCCCTATTCTCTTATGTACTTGGAGCTAGCCATTTCTCCATTTGTCCATTCCAATTCCACATTTATTAATGAAAAATAAGGCCTTCTCTACATCTACTGTGAATGTTACATAATCAAGCAATAATACAAATATCTGCTGAAAGTAAATACATGTTAGTAAAGAAAAAACGTTCTTAAGGTTTTGAAAAGAACATATTCAAGAGTTTGAATCCCACACAGGGTGCAGAAGCAATGCTAAGGATAAAATATCCTGACTACCTTATTAACGTAATCTGTGTTTATCAGCTCATTAAAATCTATGTTTCAGATTCCTTGGATTTTTCCCAAGTTCCAGACTGATAAAAGTATTTTTACATACATATATGATTCTTACATTACATACTTAATATCTCTAAACTTGACATTTGTTTTGTACAAGTCTATGGCTTTATTACTTTTCAAAACAAAAGTCACATATTAAAATACAAACTACTCAAAAGTAAATAGTTGTCAAGATTGTGGTTTACGATATAGATCTTACAGATAATACAGACTATATTATGATTTCTCTGTTTGAAAACAGAAAGTAGTATATGATACTGAATTTCTGGTTTAAGGTGCACAGGAAACCTTGCTTACAATCCTTTATTTTCATAAGGTTAACACCAAACTATTTCTCACATATATTACAACCATATTTTTTAAACCAAATTCTGGTTTTAAAATCACAAACTGACAACACATAAATACGAAATGCTAGGAAATGTCTAATATACGAGGGAATTTATAATCTAGCATAAAGGCAAATGCGGTTTTTAAAAAATGCAGTCCATATACAAAATTAGTCAAGCCACCTAACAAATTTTACAGATAACACTCATTTAATATTATGTCCAAAAATTTCCATCTAAGTGTCTACATATTAGTTAAAATAATGCCCACAAGGATCTCAAAACTACAAAGTATTAGCAAGTAAATGTAAATCACACATCTCTCTCTGAAAGAATGAAGCTTGACTATGAGTTAAAAGGCAACAACTATGAACTAACTTTCTTTAAAATGGCTAAAGTTGGCCTGTCTAGAGCAATACACGTTTTCCCAGCTATACATGCAAACTGTATTGTGTAGTAAAAATGACTCAGTTACTTACAAATGCAAAAAAGACCCAAAATAACCAGAGCTCAGCTAAGCTGACAAAACCACAGAGACTCCCAAGAAGCTGAGGATTCAGAGTAAAAATAAAATCTGGATATTTAATCCTACATCAACACTCTGATTTTATGTTTACTGTTAATAATTTATACTACTCTTTTCTTTGGGTAAAAAAAAAAAAAATGTTTTAAAAAGAACCAATGTTTTGGAATAAGCGATGTAACTCTGATCATCCTGCCACATGCCTACCAAAAGGGCCGCTGTACTTTGAGCCCTACCACTTAGTAAGACAGAGCTCTCCACACACAAGGCCCAGAGACAGCCGACCTCACAAGTTAGTGTGAGTTACACCGTTCCCATGCAACACAGCTGCTAAAATACATACATTTGTTCTTATGAAAAATTACAAAACTAACAAATCTTTCTCTCCAGATTTATAAAAGATAGAATCTATGAATCAGTACTCTAATGTGATCACAGAAAAATAGCAAACTGAAGTCAAAAAGCATAGGCTGTCCATAATACAGTCCCGAATCTACTTCCTGCACTCCTAATGCTTTCTACTTGTTCAGAGGATGGGGGGTGTCAACACCTGAAGCTGGGTAAAGAATCATCCCTGCGGTCAGGGCAGATGTCACTTTGCTTACTGCTCACACGAATCATCCCTGCGGTCAGGGCAGACGTCACTTTGCTTACTGCTCACACGAATCATCCCTGCGGTCAGGGCAGATGTCACTTTGCTTACTGCTCACACGCAGGAAAAAACTTCCTTCATTTTCCAGGATATTCTTTTAAGGATTACTTGACAGTGGTTCTTTTAAAGATATCAAAAGAAGGTGTCAAAAAAAAAAAAGATACAAAAAACCTCTTTGGAATTCTCCTGGAATTCCAGAAAGATTACCTGGCTGTTCATTCCTCCACCCCATCAAAATTTTTCCTTTGAAAAATTACACCTGACAACTCGCATAAGATTTAATTAACTTACTTAAAATAAGGGAGGGCTTCTCAATAATGTGTCCCCACTAGCAAACTAACAAGTTCAGTGATACTCTGTGCCAGTAATTAAGTGGCACGTATCATAAAAATTCAAACTTGGACACAGGTGTGTCACACCCGCAAAAGATTGTATACATTTATAAGCTTGTGCTTTCATACTTTATAAGCAACACAAGTTAAGTTTCCACTTCGGTTTTCATTTATCGTGAGTAACATGCATGTTGTATCAGAAATGGTCATCAGTCTCTCTTACGCACACTTTAGGGTTTCATCACAGCTGAAAACAAAACACCCTTCTCTTTTTCTCTATGAAGGTCCTCTCCAATTTGGGAAAGCAGTCTTCTATGCAATGTAGGTCTTGCTGAATTATGCAAAGAAATCATATAAATAAAATTTTAGAGGTCAGTCAGGAACTAGAAAAAAACCATGACATGGATAAGTCCAGCAGTTCCCTTCCCCACAACATTTGCTTCCAGGTACTTCAAACTCAGCAATCTGCTCTTCCTCATTTCCCCCTTTCAAACAGGAGACTTATTTTTCTCTGTAATAAAGCAGGTAGTATTTCAGGGGATCTGGCAGAGGGAGGCTCAGGACCTTCTGGCGTAGAAAGTTCACTGGGGGGTCTGGCTTTGTTTCAGGCAGGGTCTTCTCTTCTTCTTCCCTCCGTTCCTCTTCCAAGTCTTCACAGCTGTTGTCATCTGAGGGGTTGGAGATACGACTGGCAAAGACTTCTTTGTCCAAAAAGACAATCGTTTCCATTCGACGGCGGCGAACTCTCCTTCGCTTAAACCTGGGGGTGTTCTTTAGTCCGTTTCCATTTTTGCTGACACTTTCCTGATGAATAATCTTCTTAATGGTGCCCCGGATGGCGATGCGAGCCAAGTCCTGGAGGCTGCGAACTGCCACTGGTGCTGCAGCACAAAAGAATGACACACAGACTCATCTGAGTGACACCACCACACATAAACATCTAAAAACTGTAACATCATTTGAATTAACTGGCAAATTTACAAATATGTTATAAGAATATGAGAGAATGCTAAGCACATGTCAATTAGTGCTCCAGTTTACTGATACTTTTCAGAAGATATTTTCTTTTTTTCTTTTTTTTTTTTTTTTTTTTTTTTTTTTTTTTGAGACGGAGTTTCGCTCTTGTTACCCAGGCTGGAGTGCAATGGCGCGATCTCGGCTCACCGCAACCTCTGCCTCCCAGGTTCAGGCAATTCTCCTGCCTCAGCCTCCTGAATAGCTGAGATTACAGGCACGCGCCACCATGCCCAGCTAATTTTTTTTGTATTTTTAGTAGAGACGGGGTTTCACCATGTTGATCAGGATGGTCTCGATCTCTTGACCTCGTGATCCACCCGCCTCAGCCTCCCAAAGTGCTGGGATTACAGGCTTGAGCCACCGCGCCTGGCCCAAAAGATATTTTCAAATGACTTAATCCTTAACTTTGAAAGGAAAAGGAAGCAATATTGCTTGGCTATATTCATCAGTGCTGGAATTAAAACCTGGGTTACAGTTGGTTCTTATGACAGCCTAGTTTCATTACTATTAGTTGCTGTGTTCATGTGTATATTAATACTCATCTACTAGTAATAGAGTGAATATGTCTCCAACATTCTTTTTTTTGAGACACATTCTTACTCTGTCCCCCAAGCTGGGGTGCAGTGGTACAATCTCGACTAACTGCAACCTCCATCTCCTGGGTTCAAGAGATCCTCCAGCATCAGCCTCCCCAGTAGCTGGGACTACAGGGACATGCTACCATGCAGGCCAGGCTGTTCTCAAACTCCTGATGTCAAGTGATCCATCCACCTGGGCCTCCCAAAGTGCTGGGATTATAGGGGTAAGCCATGCCCCGCCTAACATTCTTTTATCTATTAATATTTTCATAGTTATTTACAAATTGAATATTTGTTCCTTTTTTAGTGTCCTGGGCTCTTGGCACTGAATAAGTTGCACCTTCTCCCTTCAACCTTTCCTGCTTTTCTGACTCCATGGGCAAGGGGTCCCTTATCCTTTCTCCAGGACATGCTCCAGCACTTCCCTTGTCTCTTCATTGAACCACACAATCATGCCTCTTGCCCCACCTGTGACCTAGCTCCTTCCTCAAGTATTGTCATCCTTCCTTCATCACCTCACATCAAGAAAGATTATTTCCAGAGCCACTGGGATCTGGCTGCTGCCCCACAGGCTGAAACAACTCCTTCCGAAGCCCTCAGAGTCCCAGTCTTCAGCTTTGGCCTCCCTAGATCTCAAGGTGTCGGCTTGGGATAAGGAACGTGGTGCTCACTGCTCCCCTGGCCCAAGTCACAGCCCCTCTCTCTGATCTCCACAGCTCTTTTCTCTTGCAGGCTCTTCCTCTTCCAGTCAGCCCAGTCGTGCCCTAAGGTTCCAATTTCTATCATTTCCCCCTCTAGGTATGACTGCTAGTCCTTGGATTTACATCCATTCTGTGGTTTTAAATGACGAATGCCAGCCAACAGCTCCCAAGCTTCTGATCCAGTCCTGACCAGGATCCGGAGCCTCCCACAGACCCAAGTTTACAACAGACAATGAACACCTCAGGCTCACATGTCTTTCCTCAGGCGGACTGTATCACTCACTGTATGTATCATTCAATCTTCTCCACTGTAGAAACCAGTGTCTTAGTTTTCATCTTTATCTCTCGCCTGGAAAATTCCAACAGCTTTCCACTGGTTCCTGCTTCCAATGTGTCCTGTGTCCATTCAATCAGAGAGCTAACCTATCCCCCTCACACCACACACATCTACACTCACATGACCCCACACTGCATTTCCGCACTCACACGACCCCACACCACATGACCCTGTATCATGCAGGTCTAAACGTACACAACGTACCCCATGCATCTACACTCACGTGATCCCGTATCGTGTGTGTCTACACTCACAAAGTTTTCTACTCTGCTGTCTTCACAAACATGACTTTACTAGTCTAGGAAACTCTGGCCCAGGAAAAGGAAAGTTGCCAATAACTTGATGAGTCACTTAAGAAACTAAAAGCATCGCATTCATGTTGATCGTCTAACACTCTCTTCAAAGCTATCTCCTCAAAACAAGCATCCCAAGTGCCCACCACGTTGTCATGATTCTTAATCAGGCCACATGAAACCCTCACAGGCAAAGACTCATTTTCAACCAGACCCTAAAAAATTCTCCTAAGTACCCCAAAGATGTCTTTGCCTTCCCACACTCTGCTGAGGCTCTGGAAGCTGATGTCCTCCCCACCAAGAACAGCACGTACTTAAAAAGGTTATTCTGGTGAGATTTTCAGAGCATGCATTTGACAGATTCACCCTCCACCCAACCACCAGGCTTACCCAGAATACAGAGGCACTGCATCTTTTATTTAAAGTATCTGATAGCTTTCTCCAGCCTACGTGAAAAGCCCAATTCTAACCAACATACCAGCGGTTTCTCCCACCTGTCCCAACTCTTGACTACACGGGGGAACACTCGCTCTGACTTCTGTCCTGCCGTTGCTGACACTTTTCTCCCCTTTTTTCTGTTTAGGGAATTCCTCTTTGCCCTCAAAGGCCAAACACATATGTCGTCCTCTGTCAAACCTTCCCTAATTACTCTAGCCCTTTTGCGTATCCTATTGTTGCTCATTATTGGATTTCAAGAGTCGTGTCTATTTCTTAGGACCTGTACTTAGCAGAGACCAAAACAAAGTATAATCATTTAATAAATGATTCCTAATAAATTAAAAAACATTTCTGGAAGAGATTTGCCAAAATGTTATTGTCTCTGGGTGGGACTATGCACAACTTTTTTCCTTCCCATTATTTTTTGCATTTTCCAAATTTTCTAAATGATCAGAGCATCTTCCATGTGAGTTGTTTAAATTTTAAAAGATTAGGACGTTTTGCTGTTGTGCTGCCCCGGCATCAATTCCTTGCTCAGTCTGCACCCTGAACTAGTGAAACACAAAGGCTTGGCTGTGGAAGCTTCCACAGAAAGTCTCCTATCCACATCCTAGCAGATTAGCTGCAATGTGTTCTCTACCCTTCATCTACCCACGAGGCAGCAGGCGCTAAGCAGCCCTGGGGAGGAGAAGCCCCATGACTCTGTAGGAGCTCTCTGGCTGATGGCTCTCTCTGTAAGGCCTCTCCTAGTGGAGGTGGCCAATAGCCTAAGTCCCTATGTGGCAAAATGAGCTCCCTTGTATGCGTGCCCTTTGCTTCCAATGGCACGACCAACAGCTCTTTGTAGATTTAAAAGACAGCTAAAATAACCTGAAATAGGCTAAAAATAGATTATAATTTTTCAAATGCCTGAAATTGCTTGTAGAATTTTAAAGTTTCAGTATGGGGGTGGTGCTGTTTATTATCATAAGGTTCTTTGTAAATTTTGTTTCCTTTTAAAATCTAATGAGACGAAAAAGATCTAAAAGATAAAATAAGTAAAGATTGGTCGACTGGTAGACTGGTAGACGACTGATATACTCACGCAACTGGACAAATCTTGCTTTTCCTGACTCTGAATGGCAGGGCTGGATCAGAGGAGCAAAAGAAACCGCGAGAATCTTCTTGGTTTCCCAAGCTGAAGGACCGGTGCGTGTTATCTTAGTCAACTATCCAAGAGACAAAATGAGAATATTCAAAATATTTGGCTGCTATATAGCTCACATTTAAATATAATCATCCCTATACATACTATACAAATACATAGATATGCTTACAATAAAATGAAGCATTTTAACATACAGACCCCTAATGAGATGTGCCAGGAAATACATCTATCTTATGAATATGCCTGCTAAAATGCTTAACCTGAATATATTCAGGCCCTAGGCCTAAGTTCTGTTTATAGGAAATAGATATTAAAGACAAACTAGTTATAGCATAGCAAGAGGAAACCACCACACAGAGAATGTGGGGATGAGCCTTGCCCTGACATCACCCCCATGAAAGCACTGGAATCTGGTGGCTTAACATACTGCAGTGTGGGTCATCAAAACATTTCTTTTGAATTAAAGTATTAGGAGCACCAGAGAACCCACTTAGACATGACCCTCTGTGCGCTCCACGTGGCTGGGTCAGTCTCCAAGTGGCCTACGCAGGTCATGGAACTATATTTGGTCAGTTCTTTCATGCTGGTCTTTTCTAAAAATATCAAAGTCAGTAAATCCACTAAAAACTAAGATTCTATGTCATGAATCTTATAACTTAAAAGGACTAAGTAGCCATGTACTAGGTAAACATCAACTAACATTCTTGTATATCAGCAAAACTTGTGTTTATTTAAACATTTTTAAAAGTAGACTTTCTAGACTGGGCACGGTGGCTCAAGCCTGTAATCCCAGCACTTTGGGAGGCCAAGGCGGGTGGCTCACGAGGTCAAGAGATCAAGACCATCCTGGTCAACATGGCGAAACCCCGTCTCTACTAAAAATACAAAAAAAAAATTAGCTGGGCATGGTGGCACGTGCCTGTAATCCCTGCTACTCAGGAGGCTGAGGCAGGAGAATTGCCTGAACCCAGGAGGCGGAGGTTGCGGTGAGCCGAGATCGCGCCATTGCACTCCAGCCTGGGTAACAAGAGCGAAACCCCGTCTCAAAAAAAAAAAAAAAAAGTAGACTTTCTAGTTATAATGAAAAACAAGTATTTCAATATAATCAATAAATGATGTATGAAACCTTAAATGAAACTATAAACCCCTATTTCATATTCTAGATAGGCAGAGGAAACATTGTAAAGATGTCCACAATCCTCAAATTAATCGAGATGATACAATTCGAATAAAAAATTCAATGCATTTTTATATAGCAACAAAGACTTCCAGTATCACTTGTATTAGTAAAGACATCTAAAACAATATTCTGCCAGGTGTGATGGCTCATGCCAACAACTCTGGAGGCTGAGGTGAGAGGACTGCTTGAAGTCAGGAGTTTGCAATCAGCCTGGGCAACACAGTGAGAACCTGTTACTAAAAAAATAAAATTAGCGAGACATGGCAGCATGTGCCTGTAGTGCCAGCTACTTGGGACGCTGAGGCGGAAGGACCATTTGAGCCCAGGAGTTTGAGGTTACAGTGAGCTATTATCATGCCACTGTACTCCAGCCTAGATGACAGAGAAAGATCCCATCTCCAAATTTTTATTAAAACAACTAAAAACTCCTAATTTTTATTTATTTTTTTTTCCTAGTTCTCTGTGACTGAGAGGCATTCTTCTTGGTGACCAATTCGTGTCTGTTAATCTGTTCATTTACTATGAACTGTTTTACCCAGTGAAATACAGTAACGCAGACCAGCATGCATGACCAAACAGCAAACGTGGACAAGACTCTCACTAAGCAAAGGGTTCCTGTACAATGCATAACAACAAGGCACTTATCAATTAGACTAACAATGAGAATACAACTTATTCTAATAATTTTATATATAATTCTAATAACAGAACAATTATAATAGATTAACAATTGGAATTAAAACTCAGAGCAGCTGGGGAGAAGAGGGGAAGGAGAAGGGAAACAGAGGGAGGTGAGGGGGAAGGGATAGAAGAAGGAAAAGAGAGAGAGAAGGAAGATGGAGAAAAGAGTTTCATGTGTAGTCTCTGAAGTACCTACCTGACTCAGGTTCTGGCCCCACCTAGGATATGTGTATGACCTCACAAGCCCCCTCACCTGTCCCTGCCTCTGGTTCCTAATTTGTGAAATGCAGGAATTTCTTAGAAGGGTAAGTATACATAAACTGCCCAGAACAGACCTTGGCAAACAGTGTGCAAAAATGTCAGTTATGAAGGGAATCTGACCTTCTCTTCCAGCGGCATGACAAGGATCCCTCCCACTTTGAGAAGATTCTTCATGTACTCTTCATGCTCTTTCTGCACACCAGCCCCACAGTATACACGATCATACTGAGAACAATCCGGAGAAATCTCCAGGCAATTCCCAATAACAAAGGAGGGTTCACAGAAGTCAAACCTGGAAGTACAAAATGTTTCCTGCAACTAAAGGTAACACATTGCAACAAGTATACACAGTATATCTATGCTAACCACAGGTTAAAATCCCAAAGCAATGTAACACAGTTTACAGAGCCAGGGAGCTGGAAAAAAAGAATTACAAATGTCCAAGAATTACTTCCAAAAAGAATTTCACTTTATATCTGGAACTCTAGAAATGCCAAACAAAATAGTATGAAAGTAAATATCAAAAGTATTACCCAAATTTAACACAATCCCCAATCACTGTTGTCTTTGTCACCTTCTTAGCATCTTGTATAAAATCTATTAACACCACACAATGAGTGAGATGTGGGGGTGGTGAAACTGCATTTGGGGTTTCTAAAAATTTTAATCCCTAAAACAAAACCTGTAATGCCTTATTTTAAAATGGCAAACGCTAGTCACATATACTGTTTGGAGACAAATGCAACAATTTTATTTCAGAAACGATGAGGTGGTAAAAAGTTATCTTAAATAGGAAACATGAAAATTGAGCAAAATGAACATTTTGTGTTTTCTTCTATTCTTATATTGGTGAGAAATTACCTTTATGTAGGTATAACATTTAGAAAAACCTAAAACCCTCAAAAACAGAATTTTTTAAAAAAATTAGAAGAGGCACATGGCATCATCTCCTAGCACAGTGGTTTTCTGTTGTTGTTGTTCTTTTCTTTGTTTTTTTTGAGACAGAGTTTCGCTCTTGTCGCCCACGCTGAAGTGCAATGGTGCGATCTCGGCTCACCACAACCTCTGCCTCCTAGGTTCAAGCGATTCTCCTGCCTCAGCCTCCCGAGTAGCTGGGATTACAGGCATGTGCCACGATGTCCGGCTAATTTTTTTTTTTAATAGAAATGGTGTTTCTCCATGTTGGTCAGGCTGGTCTCGAACTCCAGACCTCAGGTGATCCACCCGCCTCAGCCTCCCAAAGTGCTGGGATTACAGGCGTGAGCCACTGTACCCCACCCATCCATGATTAAACATAGTTTAATCATGTTTGCTGGCACATGAACACTAATAAGCTGATTTCTATCTGATCAAAAGTTTGTAAAATTATAATTCACGTTCTCTGACCCAATAGATAGTATTTCATCTTACTTGTCAAAACTATCACTTGTTCTGATGAAGAAGTCCAGTTTCTGCTTTGCATACTCTATCACATCTGAATGAAGTTCCACCCCATGGTTCACACCAAAAGGACCTAGAAAGTTTAAGAAGAAAACATGTAAAAACAGAAAAAGAACACTTGCTCATTCGTTTGCTTCTCTTTTATCAACTGTTAACACATCTGACTTAACATGTACAATTACAGAAATTCACAAAGTTTGGAGGTCTCATCACATTACCACGGCTCACCACATCATAAATACTTGTTCTGACGCCTGGGCTTCTCTACCCTCAAACTTTTAAAGAATCATTTGAAAATGGAAAAAAAACAACTGCTCAAATCTAACTAATGAATTAAAGAAGAAACATGTATGTGCAAGTGAAACAGACATAGGCCTCACCTGTTTGTCCAGAGGTAACATTTAAGATGACTGTTTTCCCTGAAACATTCCCCAAAATACTCAGATGTGTGCATTTTAATATTCACAAAACAGGGTTCAATCATCATCTTTAAAATAAAACTATGCTTCCAGTAAAGTCACAGTAAAACATGTTTTACATAAAAGGATATTTGCCAGTAATTTGAAATAAAACTGAGAAATGTTACAGGTCTACTTAATGATGAAAGTGCTCCCTCCCTCCACATAAAACTATCCCTATGTTAAGTAAGAACAAAGTACTGACACTCAGCATAGATGAGTCTCTCTGTGTGGGAATCCACTTACACGAAGGTAGAAATCAGGCAAAATTCATCCGTGCTGAGAAGGCAAAACAGTCATCAGCTTTCTGGAAGGGGAGTACAACAGTGGTACCCTTTCCAGAAGGAGGAGAAGGCAGTGTAGCCTCCTTGGGGAGCTGTTTCTACGCTGCATCTTGCTCTGGGTGGAGTTTATATGGAGATGGATGCATACGTAAAAGTCCACCAGAATTCACGCTTCACGCTTATTCATTTACTATAGGTAAGTGACACATCAATTTCTTAAATCTATATGTAAAAATCGACAGGGCATGTAGGACTTTATGTAGTAGACAGATGTATCACAGTGATCTACAATCTAGCAGAAACGCTGATAAGCGAGCAACCTTCTGTGCATCCCACACCTCTGCATCTGGCCGCGTGGGTCTTCCTGGCACAACAGCCGTCAGCCCAGGACAAGGCTTCTCCAGCCCCCGTTTGGACAGCTGTACCTGCTGCTCTTTTCTCTCACCGTATTCATACACAGAGCTGCTGCTAAAACATTACCTCATCAAAATACACGCTACCTGAGAGTCCATCTTTTCACTATTCACAACAGGCGTCCCCAAACTATGGCCCGTGGGCCGCATGCGGCCCCCTGAGGCCATTTATCCGGCCCCCCGCTGCACTTCAGGAAGGGGCACCTCTTTCACTGGTGGTCAGTGAGAGGAGCACAGTATGTGGCGGCCCTCCAACGGTCTGAGGGACAGTGAACTGGCCCCCCGTGTAAAAAGTTTGGGAACGCCTGATATACAACATCAAATCCTGAATTACTCTGAACTTCAAGACCTTCTGCCAACTCTCTGACTTCAATTCCCATGACTCTGTCACTATGCCAGAGACCAAAAAAAGCTGCTTGATTTTTCACACTCATCTTATTTTCACTGACCCCTCACCATCACTATCAAATACTTAATAAGCAGTTAATTCTAATAACAGATATGAGATACGGTTCCTATTCCCAAGAAGCTTAACACCAAATAGTAACAGAAACCCCTCCAGCCACCTGCTTAATAAAAAGATGACTAGCAGCGGAAGGAGGACACAGGGTGGCCGGGAGGTGTTAGCAACACGGCACCTGGGACACAGCCCTGGGACACGGCACTGAAGCCAGATCTGCAAGGCCCCCCCGGGAAAGCCACTCCCAGGTATGCCCTGCTTCCTGATCACACAGCAGTTTTCAGGTAGGTTACTTATAAGTCATCATCTTTTTTTTTTTTTTTTTTTTTTTTGAGACAGACTATCTCACTCTGTTGCCCAGGCTGGAGTGCAATGGCACGATCTTGGCTCACTGCAACCTCCACCTCCTGGGTTCAAGCAGTTCTCCTGCCTCAGCCTCCCAAGCAGTTGGCCACCGCATCCAGCTAATTTTTCTATTTCAAGTAGAGACAGGGCTTTGTCATGTCTGCCACGCTGGTCTCGAACTCGTGACCTCAGATGATCCACCCACCTCAGCTTCCCAAAGTGCTGGGATTACAGGCGTGAGCCACCATGCCCAGCCTGAGTCGCCATCTCTTAAGTAGCTACTGTATTCTCCCCTGGTTGGTGATAAAGGCAGGGACAGCCTTCAGCAAAGCGGAGAGGAGCCCACAGAGCAGGCACAGGAACATGGCTGACCCAGGATGCGGCTCAGAACTTGTGAAAGGCAGTGGGGTCACAGTAAGAAACTCTGTCGGATGAGAAACTCACATTCACAGGCACCGGGAAGCCAATGGGGATTAACTCTGGAGTGCTTTGCACAAAATGCTGTTAAGGTTGAATAAGCTGCAGCATCTGGAGACACAGCCAAGATATGCATCCATGACAGCAAAACCCTAAAGTCACTTCCTTCAACTGCATCAAAGCAGCATGTCACGTCCATTACAGCAGAAAACAGGCCTTTCCTTCCTTCAGACCTCTCTCCTCCCGAAATCCAGTAAACAGGGGATTCAGAAAAGAGAAGCAACAATATCAAGAAGGCCTCTCTTTATAACTTCTAGGGGATGCCAAGTACAGCAAGGCCCTTTCAGGCTTCCTTTTTTTTTTTTTTTTTTTTTGAGATGGAGTCTTGTTCTGTCACCCAGGCTGGAGTGCAGTGGCACGATCTCTGCTCACTGCAGCCTCCATCTCCCGGGTTCAAGTGATTCACCTGCCTCAGCCTCCCAAGTAGCTGGGATTAATAGGCGTGCACCACCACACCCGGCTAATTTTTTATCTTTTTGATAGAGACAGGGTTTCACCATGTTGGCCAGGTTGGTCTCGAACTCCTGACCTCAAGCGATCTGCCAGCCTTGGCATCACAAAGTGCTGAGATTATGGGCGTGTGAGCCTCTGTGCCTGGCCACTTCAGGATTACTGTAAGTCATCTTTTCCTAATAAGCATTTTGGCTTTTTTCAATAGCATTTCTAATTGAGTCAGCTTGATCACCTATTTCTCCCCAAGATTCTACCTTAGCTCCAATTTTTCAGCTACAATGGAGGAAATCACAGCTCCCAAATTAAAAAATGACAAATAATCTGAGCACTGTGTTCTCTTCTCAAAGCACAGGGACCACAACAGTCTCAATCAAAGAGAAATTAAGGTCAAAAAGCATTATAGAAATCTACACACTGTTATATCTGAAGGTAGCAATCTACAGCCAAAAGCCAAATAATCAGTCCCAAAACTTCACCAAATTCCAATTGATACAAACTTATAAAGAAATCCAAATTCTCGTTCCATATCCACAAAAATCAATGAGAAACAGGGTCTCACTCTGTCACCTAGGCTGGAGTGCATTGGTGCAATCATAGCTCACTGCAGTCTTGAAGTCCTGGGTTTAAGCAACCCTCCAGCCTCGGTCTCCCAAAGGGCTGGGATTACAGGCATAAACCACCAAGCCCAGCCACATTCTTGATGTTTCCTTCACAACCATATATAGTCCATCCATAAATCCTGTCAGTTCTAACAGGATTTGGAAACAATATAGACTCCAGCTTCTCTGTATTGGTTTCATCCAGTATCTCTCACCCAGCTCGCCACAGCAGCTTAGCCCCTGCTTTCTCTTTAGAGCAAGGTTTTACAGAATAAACCAGCTCCTATCACTCCTCTGGCAAAACCATTCCACCTTACTGAGTTAAAAATGGATGCCTTTCCCCACCTGTTCCATTTTGCACCAAGTGACATTCTTCCTCAGTTGTTTGGTACTGTAATTGTTAAAAATAGCCATATTCCCATGTGCAGAATTCCCTCACAACTCATTTGTTTGGGAAAATAGGCTAAATAGCTTCAAATAATATAACCTGTGAAATCCCTTCTGTCTCTGAAATTAATTTTAAAATCTACAGGTATTACTCTTACTATGAAAACAATAAAGCAGGCCAGGCATGATGGTTCATGCCTGTAATCCCAGCACTTTGGGAGGCTGAGGCAGGTGGACAGCTTGCACCCTGGAGTTTGAGACCAGCCTGGGAAACGTGGTGAGACCCCCATCTCTGCAAACAATTTAAAAATTAGCCAAGCATGGTGGTGTGTGCCTGTGGCCCTAGGTACTCAGGAGGATTGCTAGAGCCCAGGTCAAGGCTGCAGTGAGCCTTGTTCACGTCACAGCATTCCAGCCTAGGCCATGGAGCAAGACTCAGTCAAAACAAAACCCAACAACACAAAAACTGCTTAGAAGTACTTTAACTCCACCAACCCACCCGGGAGGGGCTGCCAGGATGCTGGAGCGGGTGTCAGGGTTTGAGACTGCCTAGTCGGGCGAGGCCTCCTGCCACTGGCGATGGGGTCCACCCTCGGACCAACACCCCCGTCCCGCTTCAGAGCGTCGGCCCCACAGACCTAGATGGGCAAGATACTAAATACTTTTCTTGGAATACATCATCTTGATTGAAAACTACCAGGATATTTTTGAAAAAATAGCTCACTAGCTGGCTGGGCCGGAGTACAGTGGCGCGATCTCGGCTCACTGCAACCTGCACCTCTGGTTCAAGCAGTTTTCCTGCCTCAGTCTCCCTGGCTGGGATCACAGTTTCAGGTTCTTTTCCTGCCAAATAAAGAAATGAAGTAGAAGCTGAATCTACTGAAGGGCTTTTACGAATATTTATAGAGATTAAACATGTGAAGGATTTACTATGTTGCCTTGTGAATTCTTTTTTTTTTTTTTTTTTTTTTTTTTGAGACGGAGTTTCGCTCTTGTTACCCAGGCTGGAGTGCAATGGCGCGATCTCGGCTCACCGCAACCTCCGCCTCCTGGGTTTAGGCAATTCCCCTGCCTCAGCCTCCTGAGTAGCTGGGATTACAGGCACACGTCACCATGCCCAGCTGATTTTTTGTATTTTTAGTAGAGACGGGGTTTCACCATGTCGACCAGGATGGTCTCGAACTCTCGACCTTGTGATCCACCCGCCTCGGCCTCCCAAAGTGCTGGGATTACAGGCTTGAGCCACCGCGCCCGGCGCCTTGTGAATTCTTAATGATCATTGGCTGCTATTAATTAGATGATGTTAACATTGTAGACACTCAGCCCCATCGTGACAGACGTGACCTACGGTAAGTCATATGACACATCTTAATAAAGGTCTAGGCTAAGAACCTGGAAAATCTCATTCAGTAGACTTCCCATGGAATTCTGCAGAAATGTGGATAGCAATCAGTTTCTGTCTTCCCGGGAAAATGCCAAATACATTAAATGTATAAAGACAACAATTACTATTTTGACATTGCCCTTGAGAGGCTAGATGAGAGTAAGTATCTGTTCTTGAAAACCTGTATTTCTATATTCTTTCAGTTATGTAAGTGGCCTTTATTGGTTTACATCACTGTGCAGGGGTTTGGCTTGCATAGCAAGATGCTGAAGTGTTTTCAATGCATGAGGCTGGTATTCCTGGGTGACTACATGCATTGTTTACTAATGACATTAAGTGTAGGGTAGCTCATTTAAAAATTGGTGTATTGTATAAAATGAACCCGATTTAAAATAGGACCATGTATTTTATTTAATCCAAAAATTAATGTTCCTGAAGAAAATGCAAATCCATTTTAATGGTTACTATGTACTTCTAATAAAAATATCTGGCAAGCCGGGCGCAGTGGCTCACGCCTGTAATCCCAGCACTTTGGGAGGCCGAAGCGGGCGGATCACGAGGTCGAGAGATCGAGACCATCCTGGTCAACATGGTGAAACCCCGTCTCTACTAAAAATACAAAACATTAGCTGGGCACGGTGCCTCACACCTGTAATCCCAGCACTTTGGGAGGCCGAGGCAAGTGGATCACGAGATCGAGACCGTCCTGGTCAACATGGTGAAACCCCATCTCTACTAAAAATACAAAAAATGAGCTGGGCATGGTGGCACGTGCCTGTAATCCCAGCTACTCAGGAGGCTGAGGCAGGAGAGTTGCCTGAACCCAGGAGGCGGAGGTTGCGGTGAGCCGAGATCGCGCCATTGCACTCCAGCCTGGGTAACAAGAGCGAAACTCCGTCTAAAAAAAAAAGAAAAAGAGAACTTTAACTGCAGGAGGACTTGAAAGGTAGTTACCATTGCTTCAGAGAACGAGTGACAAGGAAGACTGAGTGATTAAATTAAATCAAGAGATCGTAGTGGGGTCGAGATGTACACGACTGTCTTTGTTCTGCACTGTCCAGAGGGTAGGTGCACAGTTCAGACCGTGGCAGGTTCAGGCAGAGGGGACAGAGAACAAGAGGGGTCCCTCTGGAGAACCTGGTGCCCGAGAGAGCCATGCAGGCCTTCCTCCCTCATTGCTCTGTCCACCACCCGGTGATGTGTCAACTCAGGTAACTACTAAGAAGGCTGTGGTCTCGGTCCAGGCGGGCCGTCGGCAGACTATGTTTTCTGTCAAAGGAGATGCCTCCTTCCCTGACACAGATGAGTTTTCAGACTCTCCTTCCACACTTACCCAGAATGAGGCCCACCATGGAGCTGAGGTACCCAGTACCACTGCCCAGGTTCAGAAATGAGAGTCCAGGCTGCAGATCCAGGGCTTCCATCACCTCCGAGTAGATGCACGGGGCTGAGAGGTGAATGTTTCCATGCTTCCATGCCAAGTCTTTATAAGCATTTTCTTTAAATTCTTCAAGATAATAGTCGGCACGATCGATAGCTCGGAAAGCCTGCTCTACCAGTTCAGTCCGGATATACTGCGCTTCTTTCAAATTATCTATCAGCTCATCATTGTCTTCACCGGCACTCACAGCACCGCCCATGTTCAAGATGACACTTAGGCAATACTATAATTAAAAATTTTTAAAAAGAGCTATTTATGTTAAAGGTAAGAGCAGAACAATAACAGTTCTAAACAGATACTGATTTCAAATGCTGAATTCTGAAAATAATAATCTTTTGTCAACACCCACCTCACAACCACCCAGAGTTGCCAGATTTAGAAGGAAAAAAAAAATCTCAGTTCAACTGAAAATTCAAGCAAACAATACTAAAAATTGTTTGATGTTTATTTGAAATTCTAATTTAGGCCGGGAGCAAGGGCTCATGCCTGTAATCCCAGCACTTTGGGAGGCCAAGCCAGGCGGATCACCTGAGGTCAGGAGTTCAAGACCAGCCTGGCCAACAGAGTGAAACCCCATCTCTACTAAAAACACAAAAATTAGCCAGGCGTGGTGGCGCATGCCTGTAATCCCAGCTACTTGTGAGGCTGAGGCAGGAGAACTGCTTGAACCCGGGAGGCAGAGGTTACAGCGAGCAGAGATTGTGCCACTGCACTCTAGCCTGGGCAACAGAGCAAGACTCTGTCTCAAAAAAAAAAGAAAAGAAAAGAAAAAGAAAATTTAGTGGTGTCCTATATTGTATCTGGGAACTCTACACCCCCAACATACACAAAAGTACCCACCCAAGTCAAGCAATGCATTCGACCTGTTGGATATTTTGATGTTCAAATTTTAGACAAAAACATCAAGAAAACACCCTTCCCAAATACAACATTCTATGACAAATACCTTCTTCTAACAAATGCAAAATCAGCTTCCTGGCTCAGGTTTAAGTATGTGTGTGTGGAAAACTGCATGATATGCAGTCTTCCCAACTCTTTAAAAATAACAGCTACTTGTCTAACCTTCTCCCAAGCTGCCTTCAAGAAGAAAAAGTGCAGCAGGTGTCACCTCTGAGCCTAAGTATTAGAATATACAGTGTAGCTTCATTTAATTCACAGGAAAACATTCTTTCATGTGGAGAAGTCTTACTCTTCTAAAAGCTACAAAAATATCCTTTCCAATTTTATACTTACCCCATGTAACTTTTTCAAAGCTTTAACTTCACATAAAATGGTAATGCTTTACAAACACCAGATACAGATTGTTGGGGAAAAAGACCACCAGATCTCATGAAGACATTTTCATGAACACAACCTTTTTAAAAACCTGTTATGATTATGATGGACTTCATTCTTGCTTTCCTCCTCACATTCCTCTGGATTTCTAACAGCAAGCTGAGGATAATAAAGAAATACTGGGGGATCCCAAGGGGGCAGTGGGCAGATTTCATACACACCCATGTACACAACTGCTGACAGTGGTGGGAGAGGTTTTCCCAGGAGTGAAAATAATCACATAGTTTCTTGTAGGTGAACAAAAAGTGTGAAAGGTATGGCTTAACACAAATTATCTTCTGTTTTTATGGTGGAATACTCAGTCTTCATAATCAAGATTTTAGAGCTAAATGTTAGGTTTTGCAAATCAATAGGATGGTCCAGTCATTAAATTTTCACACCCTTTTTGAATTTTTTTGAATTGTTTTGGAGCCCTTGTTAGATTATGGTCCATAGCCAGTTGACTTAGACTTAGAGGAATTAAGTCCTAATGAGGTCGAGTTTAATCCTGGATAAGCCACTTAGTTCTGAGGCTACACCCATAGCCTAGCACAGTCATCTTAAAATTTAGGCCAGTGGTTAAAAGCGGAATCAGGCGTTCGGCTACTTAAGGATCTATTTAGGAAAAGAGCTGGAAATCACATACCGTACTCAGTGAAAGCCACCTCTTCACCCAGAAGCCTGTATATAATGTTCTATCATTCTATCTCAATACATCTTTAGAAGGTATCCGCAAACTGTATGTTGGATAGGTTTCATTTCCATTTTCTACCAAGTAACTATCATTTATTTTGAACTCTTCCTTAATTTGAAAGTTCAGATGGCTTCTTAGTAAAAACAGCTAGCATGTGTTTTCCAGGTACCACCTGTCAGTCATGGCCTCATTCACAGGTCGCAACACTAAGAGGCAAACTGGAGCTAGTTGGTTAATTTGTTCACGATTACACAGTTTGTGAGGAGGGCACTGGATTCAAACCCAGGACTGTACAGCAAAAGGCCTGTGTTTTTAATACCACACCAATGCAGCTTTTAAAAATATTTAAGGCAGCGATGTTCTTTACCACACAACGCTTTGGTAATCTTTTGACTATGGGGTAATCCTATCTGTATCTATTGCCATCGGTAGGGTGCATGTGCATATCTGTGGGTCTGACATTTATTACCATCTTTGCCTGGTAATCTAACACTCCCTCACACTGGAAACCATGGCTGTTAACAACAGACTGTAGATGTGATCAGTCATCATGTCACCAAAAACACTGACAACAAACTAAGCTCTTTTGCAAAACCAAATCCTATCATTTTCACCTAGGTTCTACAATCCAGTCAAATCCAGTTTTTCAAAGTAAAAGTGTATAATCATTTTTAGAATGCTGGACTCGATTACACCAGTGCACATTATCTGCTGAAATCCTTAATGTCATTCACTGCTCTGCAGTGACTAGCAGCAGTCCGTAACAACCTTGCTGCTCCTTACAATATCAACTACCAGGGCACATGAGGAACACTTGCTGAGTGGCAGCAGGCATGAAGGTCTCAGAATTGATACTTGAGGAGGTCGTGATTGTGGCTGTGTCAACTCAAGCACAAAGCTGTGGTAACGGCAATTTGGGAGCCTACACACAATCCAACCTGGATGTCAATTCTTAAGGGGAATATGGACAAAGTAATTCACTGTGGAAGATAGGTGGGGAGAAGAACCCACAGCCACATCTCCTTTGGGCAGAATGATCAAACACACACACACATACAAATAGATTTCTCACCTAGAAAACCAGAACTCTTACAAGGAAGGCAAAGGGACATTTTTCAAATACAGATGGTCTCCGACTCAGGACGGTTGGACTGAAGGTTTAAAGATGCGCTGACTGGGATGCAACCCCATCCGAAGTCAAGCAGCACCTGTACCTGAAAGGCTGTCACACGCACACTATCAACGGGCCTCACAAAAGCCAGACCAGCGGTCCAGGCTGCAGACAACGCCACCTAAATACACAGCGGAGCTTTCTAACAACTGAAGCTGCAAAGAACGAAAGGAGCCCCCAGCCAAGTTCCACGGCAGGGAGGAAGGCACTGGCCTCCAGAGCTGAGCCCGCCACCTCTGCGGTCTCCTCCCATCACCCGAGCGCACGGCTCCGTCTCCCCCAAGCACGACCACCACCGTTTCTCAGTCGCTGCTGCACCTCAACTTCGCTAACGCGCGAAGGACGGTCCACCGGACGCCCAGCTCGGAGCTGTCTGGCCACTCCCTTGAGAGAAGCAGCCAGCAAGCTCTGCCCACGAGTCAGGGGGTGGGCATTCGGCGCCCTCCTGGAGGCGCGGCGCGGCGCGCACACCCGTCGGACCCGTCCCTCTCCCACAGCAAAAACAAAGGCGCGAGGCTCGGCCGGCTCTCCCTGCTCCGACCAACCCAGCTCCGTCTGGGCGCGCGAGCCGCGGTCCCAGAGCCCCGCCCGGGTTCCGACCACCTCCGCGGCGCGCGGGGCCGGGGGCCGCGGCTGGGGACAGGGCTCCGCCGTCTTCGGGGGTCCCACGCCGACGCTCGGTGCCTCCGCGCCCGGCTCGCCCGGACCCGCAAACGTTTCCCACTTAAGAACTCAAGGGCAAGCCGCAGGTCGGGACGGAGCGCGCCCGGGGGGACCAACCGGCGCCGGGAAAGAGCGCGGGGACAGCGCGAGCGCGGGGCGACAGAGACGCGGGGCGCCCCGGGGTCCGCGGAGGGGAGGAGCGAGGCCCCCAGAGGACCGCTCCGGGGACGGCGCTGCCAGGGGAGGGGCAGGGAAGGGGACACACCGCCCGCTCGCCGCAGGCCGGGCCGAGGGGCGGCGGCGGCGGCGGCGGCTCTACCTCCAGGCTCGGCCGGCCGGCGGGCTCGGACCGCCCGGGCTGCGACCTGCAGCTCCTCGGGCGCGTCCCTGCTGCGTCCGCGCCCCGGGTGCGCCGCTCCGACCTCGGCCGCCGTCAACATCCGCCGCCGCCTCTGCGCCTGCGCACGGCGGGACTGCGCGCGACGGCCGGACTGCGCGTGCGCCGCGGGCCCGCCGCTTAAAGGGGCCATGGCGGCGCAGGCGGGGCCCGCTCCTCTGGGCGCCGGAGTCCGCGCCGTGCTCAGCCGGGAGGACGGGCCCGCCCCGGCCGCCTGAGCCGCCGCCCTGGGGGTCACCGGAGCCGCCCGCGGACGCAGCCGGCCCTGGGGCCTCCTCCTGCCCAGCCGGCCCCGGAGATCACGCGGACCCCCCGGAGGGAAACTGCGCGGGGAAACCTGCCTTCCTCCGCTCCCCGCGCTGACGGGTGTCGGGTCCGCCCCCTTCGGAAACGCGCATCAGAGGCGCGGAAGAGCCGGGCCGGTGGCGTGTCCCCTCCGTCCCCTCCGCCCCCTCCGTCCCCCTCCGTCCCCCTCCGTCCCCCTCCGTCCCCCTCCGTCCCCTCCGCCCCCCTCCGCCCCCTCCGTCCCCCCCCGGCCCCCCCCGGCCCCCCCCCGGCCCCCCCCGGCCCCCCCGGCCCCCCCGGCCCCCCCCGGCCCCCTCCGCCCCCTCCGTCCCCTCCGTCCCCCTCCGTCCCCCTCCGTCCCCCTCCGTCCCCCTCCGTCCCCTCCGCCCCCCTCCGCCCCCTCCGTCCCCCCCCGGCCCCCCCCGGCCCCCCCCGGCCCCCTCCGTCCCCCCCGTCCCCCCCCGCCCCCCTCCGCCCCCTCCGCCCCCTCCGCCCCCCTCCGCCCCCTCCGTCCCCTCCGGCCCCCTCCGTCCCCCCCGTCCCCCTCCGTCCCCCTCCGTCCCCTCCGTCCCCCTCCGTCCCCCTCCGTCCCCTCCGTCCCCCTCCGTCCCCTCCGTCCCCTCCGTCCCCCTCCGTCCCCTCCGTCCCCCTCCGTCCCCCTCCGTCCCCTCCGTCCCCCTCCCCCCCCCTCCGCCCCCCTCCGTCCCCCTCCGTCCCCCCTCCGTCCCCCTCCGTCCCCCTCCGTCCCCCTCCGTCCCCTCCGTCCCCCGCCGTCCCCTCCCCTCCGCTCCGGGCTGTCCCGTCTTCCCGGACCGACCACCGCGCTGCCACGGCCTGTCGGCGCCCCCCGTCTCCCCCCGGACCACCTGCGCGCTGTCGTGGCGCGTCCTCAACCTCGGCAAGATTAACTTTCTAAATTAACCGAGACCTGCCTCCGCCTCTCCGGGTTCACACGACCCATTGCCCAGCCTCGCGTGGGGCTTCAGCTGCAGAACCGTTTCTTCCAGCGCAGCCGTGCGAGCCGCCCACGTGTGCTGCTGCGGAGCGGCGGGCCTGGGTCTCCGGTCCCGGCCTCGTCCTGCCCCTCCTGCCCCGCATTCCTCCTCCGACCCTGGAGCTCCACTTAGGAGCAGAGTTTGAAACCAAAGGCCGGCGCCCTCACCACGTGTGTGGTCCCGGGGTGATCTCACTTCTCCCGGTGATCCTGATCCGTGGTACTGGATCCGTGGACCTGAGGTTGCCCACCACCTCATGACCTTCACGGGGCTCTCAGCGTCTTTCCACCCGAGAGCCTGTGGTTATCTGTGACTTTTTCAGATTACAGAAGGCCCGGGGTCATCCTTGACCCTCTTCCCACTGCCAGGGGACACGTCCCCCGTAATCCCTCCTTGCACTGCCCCAGCTTCCCTCGCCTCTCCCCACCCTTCCCGTCGCTCTCCTGGGCTCTGGCCAGTGGTCCCCCTAAAACACAGTGTGATCACATCACTGCTGTCTTCAGACAGTTGCTTTGTTTCGGGACCAAACAGGGTCGGGCTGCTGTTTCTCGTGGCCCAATAACACAAGATGCCAATGAACTGGGGAGTGAGAGAGGTTTTATTTCTGCAACGGGTTACAGGGAGAAGGCCTGGAAATTAGCAGTCCAACTCAAAATTACGAAGTTTTCCAGAGCTTATACACCTTCTAAGCTGTATGTCTACGTGTAAGTGTGCATTCAGCTAAAGACATAAGTGATTAACTTCTTTTAATCTGTAACTAAGGTCTAAGTCCTGAAGACCCTCTTCTGGAGCCTCAGTAAGTTTACTTAATATACATGGGTCTAGGTGCTGGGGTGATTACCCTTATCTTGTCTCCTGCTAAATCATAATGGTATGGGGAGTTCCTTTAGGCCCCAATAAACTTGTTTGTGGAGGCATGGGGAGTTTCTTCAGACCCCAATAAAATTTGTTTAATACTAAAAAGGGTCCTGTTAAGAATTTGTTCATTATCTTGTCATGCTTCAAGGCCCAGAAAAAGCCAAGGCAGAATTCTTGGGCTCTTTGTTACATTCCAACCTTTATATAAAGGCAGTGGCTCGATCAGCTTTGAATGTGTAACCTGGCTACTCAGTCCATTCTGGAATAGTTGTAGTGGAGGCCTAAGTTAGCGAGACCTGGCCTGCCACACCTTCAGACTCTTGCTTGGTTTTCCAAGGTGTGTCCTCCATTCCCTTCCATATCAGCTCCCACTACTATCAGCATTCATAGCATTAACCCTTCATAAGGTACATACTGAGCACTCTACATAGCTTATTTCCACGAAATAGGTACTAGTATGACTTCCAAGGAGAAAAGTGGACTGCGACATCAGGAACTGGCCTGGTGCTCAGATCAAGGCCACACGGTCTCCTGTTGGACATAAATAATCTTGTGGAGGAGCACCATCATGATCCAAGGCCATGTCATAATTTTGTCTAAGCACAAACAAAAATAGGGTCACTGTGCCACCCACAAAATCTAAGACAGATCCTCTCCCAGTTAGTAGCAATGGCCCCGGCTCCTCTACCAGCCTCCCTCTGCCCTGGCCTCCTCACAGGTAACATCTACCTAGATGCCCAGAGAACTGCTCCCCCCCCACACACACACACAGCCACAATTCCTGAGTGCATCTAATGCACAAAAAAAATCACACAACTCAAGCCCACGTTTTTCAGTAAGTTTCCCCGACACCTCTTACTGAGATGCCTTGCAGTTCTCCATGATCCGCACCCTCCTCGCTGCGACGAGTGACAGTCCCAACACATTCAATTACAGGCATGTTCCTTGTGGCCTTCGGCTTGACGGCATTGATACCTCCATTTTACAGATGAGGGAACTGAAACTACAAGAGGTTAGCTGGCTTCCTGTACTTACCAGCCAGGAGTAAGCACAGGAAGGTGGATGAGACTCCAACTGCTACTCTCACCCTCCTCCAGGCTCTTCCCACACCCAGCCACAGGGAGCTTTCTGAACGTGTCTCCAGTATCCCCTTGCATCTGTCCACTCGTCTTTGTCGTGTCTGCAGGAAGAGCCTCATGCAAGGGCCTGAGGTACAGGTGTGGCCGGGTGTCTGAGGAGCAAGTGGCTAGAGCCACACGTGGGAGGCTGTGTTTTCAAAATGCGCTATTTTTATTATGGTAAAATATACAAAACATTTCTCATTTTAACCATTCTTAAGTGTACAGTTCAGTGGCACGAAGTACATTTACATTATTGGGCGACCTCACTACTATCCAGCTCCAGATTTTTCTCATCATCCCCAGCTGGAACTCTACCCATTCACATTAAAAATTCTCAGCCAGCTAGTAATGGAGGGGCATTTCCTCAACTTGATAAAGAACATCTACACAAAACCAACAGCTTATATCATACTTAATGGTAAGAAAGTGGGCCTTTTCTCCTTAAGAACAGGAATAAGGCAAGAATGTCCGCTCTCACTACTTCTGTTCAACATCATATAGAAGTCCTAGCTCATGCAATAAGACATGGAAATAAGGTATACAGATTGGGAAGGAAGAAATGAAGCTGTCTTTGTGCACAGATGATAAGATAAACTGTATATCATATCCTGAGGACTCTACCAAAAATAACTCCTGAAACTAATAAAAGTGACTACAGCAGAGTTGCTGGATCCAGTAACACCCCCCACCTTATCCTTAGGGGACATGTTCTAAGATCCTGTCAGGGGTATGTACCAGGCCCTGTAGTACATACACGGATGCCTGAAACCAGGGACAGAAGCAAGTCCTATATATACCGTGTTTTTTCCTCTATATGGATCATCTATGATAAAGTTTAATTTATAAATTAGGCATAGCAAAAGATTCACAATAACTAATAATAAAATTGAACAATTATAACAATGTACTGTAATAAAAGTTACATGAATGTGGCCTCTCTCTCAGCTATTAAGTGATTAGTGGGCAGGTAGTGTATATGGCATGGGTATGCAGAACAGAAACGTGACTCATGTACCGGGCAGCATGGAGCAGGAAGGCGTAAGATTTCATCACACTACTCAGAATAGCACTCAATTTAAAATGTACAAATTATTTCTGTAATTTTCCAATTAATATTTTTAAATTGTGGTTGACTGCCGCTAACTAAAAACATGGAAAGCAAAACCATAGATGGGGGACTACTATGTAACATTAATAAACAAAAGCCAAAATTGCTTTCCTATACACCAGCAATGAACAATTGGACTTTGAGATTAAAAATGCAATACTGTTGACAATAATAGCAAAAAATGTGATGCTTAGGCATAAACCTAACAAAGCAGTACAAGATCTATATGAGGAAAACTACAAAGCTCTCAGAAAATAAGTCAAATACTTAAATAGACAGATATTCCATGTTTATGGATAGGAAAACTCAGTGGTGCTAAGATATCAGTTTCTTCCAACTTAATCTAGAGATTCAATACAACACCAGTCAAAAATCTCAGCAAGTTATTTCATGGATATCAACAAACTGATTCTAAAGTTTATATGGAAAGACAAAATACCCAGAACAGCCAACACAATACCGAAGAAGAACGAAGTTGGAGGGCTGACGCAACCAGATTTCAAGACATACTGTAAAGTTAAAATAATCAAGACATTGTGATGTTGGCAAAAGAAGAGACAAACGGGTCAATGGAATGTCACAGGAAGCCCAGAAATCCAAATCAGTCAACTGTTCTTTGACAAGGGAGCAAAAGCAATTAAGTGGCGAAAGAATAGTCTTTTCAACAAATGATGCTGGGACAGCTGAATATCCACA